TATATATAAAACAAAAAAAAAGTAGGAAGTAATTAGTATTTATCAAAAACGTATTTATTGTGTTTTCTATATTTATTAAAGATTTATCTCAAGTTTTTACGCATTTTTTTTTCTCTCAATTTTTTGGTATGTGGTAGTAGTGTGCTTTGTTCGTTTAAGCAACTTGCTTTATTCTATTTAGCTAGTTTTCTTCGTCTTCTTTATTTCAATTTATTAATATAAATGTTTTTGTTGGTTAAGTTTAATTTGAGAGTTTATATTTATTTTCTTTAGAATTTATATTTACTTTTATTATATTTCACAGTTATTGAATTTTAAAATTCGGTTTAAGAAATTTATCGGTTTGAAATCTAATTTTAAAAGTTTTATTAAAAATATTATCGAATTTCAAATTAATTTACGAACTTTTTAGGTTTTAAAATTTACCAGATTTCGAAATTTAATTTAGAAATTCACTTAATTTTGAAATCTATTATGAAACTCTTCAAATTTTGAAATTTTGAAATCTATTAAAATTATGTATTTAATGAATTTTGAAATTTGAGAGAAATGATTATCATATTTCAAAATGAAGGAAATATAATTACTAGATTTCGAACACTCCTACCGATATTTTAAAATCCGATATGCATTTATTTTTAATTTTTTGCTAATTTTCTTTTTGAATTTGTTTGAATTCCTTTTTTAAAATTTGTTTTCTTTGTTTTGTTTTAATAATTTATTGATCTCCAATTATAATTATTACTGAAGAAGGGAGGTATTAAAAGGTGATGATATTATGTTATAGGTGATTATAGTATAAGATGAAAGATTATCCTTTGAGTTTGATGGATTCACAAGTAAATTCAAGTTTCATGTCAAATTTTTATTCTTTTATCAATGAAATATGCAAGGGAAACTACACAAATAATTTTACAACTAATCATATTTTTCTCACACCTGATGAGTTAATTGAGTGGGTTCGAGATATTGCTTTTGATTTTTTCTTTTTTGTCGTCATTATAAGATATGATAAAGTTAATTGTCAATCTGGGAGAAAAAAGTTTATGTTGTTAAGATGTGAATGGTGGAAAGTACAAAAAATACAAATATGATGTTCATCCTAGTATATCTGGCACAAGCTCTTAGCAAAATGTACAATGCAGAGATCAAACTCAAGTCTACTTTGCAGAGGTACTGTGCTTTGTCATACGTTTTAGCAAAATGTAGCTTGTACGATGTGTTAGAGCATAAGTCTTTAAGGGAATCATTCCTAGAATGTTTTTCACATCGTTCAACGTCTTTTTCTTGGGTGCACTGTTTCTAATAAAGTCTTTCTACTTTTGTTATCTGCACAAATATCAAGAGCAAGGTATACAAGCATCGAAACACTTCATCGTACGTGCATTAAATATTTTGAAAGATGATAAGTGTTAGGTTTATTGCATGTTCAAAACATTTTATCATTTGTCATTTCATTAATAAATGCATTGTTTGGTAAAACATTCAACATATATGATCATTAGATGATATAAAATATTAGATGTTATATCAAAAACTGTTTGTAATATGCAGCATTTAGTAATCATAAGAAAAACTGTTTGTAATATGCAGCATTTAGTAATCATAAGACACTGACTTGAATTAACACTGTTTTGAATAAAACACATTTTACGCTTTAATGTTAACATGAGATAGACGCTTATGTTCATAAACGTTTGATTGTAAGACATTATTCATTTAGACATTTAGATGTTATTTGTAAAACGTTGTTTGTTACACATCGTCTATTAGATGATTCAATAAGAGCAACATTTTCTTTTCTTAGACGTTGCTTATAAACTTTGTTCATTAGACAATATAGTCTAGAAAACATTATTATAAGTTTAATTTTGTCTATAGAAGATGTTTCAAAATATTTTTCTCTTAGACGCTATTTCTTTAAAACAACTTTTCATACATAACGATATTTCATTTGATGATTTTGTTAACTTCAAAACCTGAGTTGCTAGACGGTCTAGTCTCTAGACGATCTTGTTTTAAAACAAGTGGGCCAGTGCAACAACTCCCCAAACATATCTTTCACATGTTTACAAGTCTTTGAAGAGAAATAAGTACAATACAAGGATGAAGGTAGTGCTCTTTGTTAAAATATTACATCTAACAAGATGTAAAAAGTAGGTCTGTGCGGCTTACTCCCACTACTAGTTCTCACAACATTCATTTTATAGGTCTCTCAACCAACTCAATCTTACTTATGGACCATGACATTGCCTCAACTTAGATGTAACTCTCGCATGGTCCACGCCCAATAAGTCGGTAAGAGTTTCCAAAGCCACTTCAAAGTCTAGGACTTCATTCAAACATAATTCTCCCACTATGGGCAGATGTAGTAGTGTAGACACCTCATCTCACCAACAAGGGCATGGAAATTATTTGTCTTTCTATGTCATCTCTCAACAAACACCAATATCAAGCCATTATCAGTGTAATATTAAGAAATATCACATAAAGACAACAAACTGAAATTCATCACAAAATTTTGAACAACCAAATGACATGCTCTAAATTTGTTTAATTTTTCTCATGAGAGACCAACTTGATCTTCCATCGATCCTAGATAAAACAATTGCATATAAAGTTCAAACAACTAATAAAGCATCAAAATTCAAAGAAATATTCAACTACTTCACTAACCTAGTCGTGCCACAAGACGAATGCAACATGATCGATATAACTCGTTAACAATATCATGTGGACCTCTAAGATATCCACCTATTTCATGTTATTCTTAAACAATATCCTGTGTTGCTTAACAACATCATGTTACTCTTCAATAACATTTTGTTCCTGCTCATGAAGATCAGGATGAGGTAATGTTGCAGCTTTTTCAAGACAACCTCTTCTACGAGCATATGTCGTAGGTCTTTTTCTGACTTCACCTTGTGAAAAACTCTCAACCTGATATCTAGATGCACCTCATATTCTTGCCAACTCTATAACAAACAAATTCACAACAAATTAAAATCAATAACATAAAAAATAACTAATTTAATGAAACAAAATAAAAAAATAATACAGAACTCGTACAAAATTGTACATAAACATTAAAAATTACAATAAAAATTAATATATATATATATATATATATATATATATATATATATATATATAAACCCTATCACCTTGAAGAAAAACGTAAACAAATAAATAAAATTAAAAAAAATAAAAAACAATAACTATTAAAAGTAAATTAAAATATATAAGCAATAATTAAAATAACAAATTAAATTAACATAAAATAAAATTAAATATATTAAACTTTTTTTAGAGATTATAGTCAACATTTTCTCAATATTTTGAAAGATAAAATATTGAGACATGCATTAATCTTGCTTAGTCATTTGAAATTTATATTTTTCTTATCATTGTTATAATATTAAAATGAACTACTTTTTTCCATGCAACTTTTGGAAGGAAAACATTTTGCAGTAAAACAGTAATTTTGATTATTAAAATCATTAATCAAACACATAAATGCGTTTTTTCTGTTGATTATTTATTGAGATGAATTAAAAAAAAGTGATTAAGTATAATATGTAATTTAATACGTCTTCTGCAAAGGAACATTTTTTTATGCAATTCTTAATTTTAAAATAAAAATATTATTTTGTTAGTGTTGAATAAAAAGTGAATAAAATATATTTTTGATACAATGCAATCACTCATAAAGAGAAACATCAATTCACCTCTTATAAGCTTATTTAAATGAAAAGTAACAGATTTGACCCAATTAATCACTACTTAAAATAATAAATTATTTCACTAGCTTACTAGGTTATGAAAAAACTCTTACTTTAGTAATAATTACTTATCGTTTAATTAATTCAAAGTATTATAACTAATTTTCCAGTTAAAAGGCCAAAAATTAGGTGATTCATATTTCACACAATAAATTGTGAACTCTACTAATTTGAATAAAGAAAATCAGAATTAAAAAATAGAGAGAAAAATTGTGTAAGCATATATATCATGAGTGTATCAAGTATACTCATTAACTCACAAATAAAAATTAAAAATGTTTGAGAATGCAAGAGACAAATTAAAAAAAAGATAAAAAATAAAAAATATACTAGGACTGAAAATCATTTAGTATCTCTAACCTTAGTAACTTATGTTGGTTTTAAGTGAGAGACTAAATTGAGCAATTTATTGATAAATGATAAATTACCAACAATCTCATGTACACACAAAAGATAATCAATAAAAATTACATTAATAGTGCTACATATCTTCATAAAGATGGACATTTTTTTTAACATTGAACAATGAGTCTTTAACCATTATCTTTAACTATTAGAAACATATGTTCTATTGAGATAATAAAAGAATAAAAGAAAATTAAGCTATCATTTATCAGAACCAGAAAAACTGATACAATCTTTATTACTTTGTTTTTAATAATTCATCAAATGTGAGTAAAATTGAAAAGCCAACTGTTTTCTTGAAATTTGATTATTCTCTACTTGAAAAAATATATATCTTTTTTTAATAAAAGTTGTTCAAACTAAATATAATTGTTCAAAAATTTATAATCTGGTAAAAATTTGAAAATCCTTAAAAATGTTTGATTTTATTTCTTGTGGAACTTTGTTTTCAATAATAATTTGTGTTAGTCCAGCGGGTTAACAAAGTGTAACATTTGGTCATAAGCCATGAAATTACTGTGATAACAGAGCTTGGCTGTGGAGATGTCAATCGATTCACTACTCAAAATCATGGTAAAACATTGAAAAAGTGGAAGAAATAATTAGTTTCTTTGATTTGAATGTGAAGTGGAAAACAATTTGTTTCAATGTCACTGTGTGACCATGTGATCCTTCTGGTTCAACAATGTGCTATAATGTGAACTAGTCATGACACATGTATATTTGTATATCACACAGATGACATTTCAACATGAATAATGTACACAAACAAAGAAAATAGTTGACATCTTCATGTCACAAGTGTTAAAGAAAAAAAAAAGGCATGGATCTTTGTGCAAGATTTATATATTTGTTACAACATAGCCAAAAGTATTTGATTCCACGTATCAGGAACTCCAGGCAAACACCAGTGTATGCAATCTGCGTTTTCTGGATTAGCCCTTTCCTCTTCATTCAACAGTTTCCCTCCAGTTTCAGTGTAAACTGAGGAATGGCCATCAATTCTGTACTCTGATAACTGTGTTATGTTGATGAATGTTACTGGAACTTTCATTTCCTTCACTACTTTGGACACCACACTCATTATTCTCTTGTCAGAACCAGTTCCCCAGTGCTTCTTTTTCATCACTGGCTTTGTCTCATTGAAGCATTTCACACCTTCCATGTTGCCCCAGTCTTGGCTTCTGAGAAACAACACACTCGAATTGTTACAATATTGAGCATTTTACTGAGAAATATAAAGGAAGCAAATAACTGCTTGACTTATGTTTTTTTGATTTTGATGTGATTTATGTTCGAGGATAGATTAATCTAAATGTAAACTAGTGATAAACTTTGGTATAATTGTTTATTGTCCAATGGAAAAAACTAGTTGAAGGGCTTCAACTTGATACTAAAGGATGTGAATATTTACCTAACTAGTATTTGAACATGGCTGTAGAGAATTTACTGTGAATCCAAACATGCATTTAGCTTATAGCTTAAGTTGTTGCTATAATAATAAGTTGGACTTAGTTTTCTTAAGAGAAAGAGACCTTGTGTGTGTTGGTGACATAGTGGTGAAAAAGACCCTGGTTTTGTTTGGATTGATGGTTGAGTCGATCCAATTGGCCCACGTTTTCAAAGCTAACTTGTAAGCAATTGGGGTGTCAAATTCTTCATACCCTTCTTGTCCATTGGCAAAGGAACCCCATCTGAAATTTGTAAACTAGAGGTCAGACACTGTCTTCCTGCTTTTGTTAAAGATCAAATGCTGAAAGAGACTACTGAATGTTTGCCATGAATAACAGAAATATTATGCTGATTTAGTAGTATCAAAGAAAGTTTACATTGTTTTTATCCTAATACCACTCATCCACCATACGTAGGTGTTGAATACAAGGATGTCCACTCCTGTCCAGTTTTTGGCTCTTTCAGCTATAGCATCCACTTTTATTATCCTTTTCCTTATATCTATGATGTCAATGTCACTGTTGGACTCCACAAGATAAGGGGCCCAATAGAATTCTATGGTGGCATTGTATGCCTGTGAAAGCACAGATACAAAAAGAACGAGCTTGAGTTTTCAGAAAAGAAGCATGATCTCTCAGTGTTAGTGTGTTTATTTATTGTGTTTGTGCCAATTACACAATTTCAAATGTGCTTTTTTTTGTATTGTTTTCCAATTAGAATTGGAGTTTGACATTTATAACTCATGTAACAATTTGATAAAATATTTTATTGAAGTGAAGCTCCAATTCTGATCGGAAAACAACAGCAAAAGCATTTGTAAAACTGCATCTAAGTTTTAATCAATATATTTAAGCATCATTTCAGTCAAGTAATACCTTAGCAGTGAAGACTGAATGAACTCTCCCCAGTCTCATAGATTTATGCTTATGAGGTATGATCGATTCTACCAAGCAGACAAAAGACTCCCACTGGTTTCTCTGCAGTGAATCCCCAACAAATAGCAGTCTTTTCCCTTGAAGCTTTCTGAGGGCTAGCTCTGGGTTGAAACTGCAAAATATAGTCATTTTTTAATGTACTTTACACAAACTAAACATACATGTATATGATAAAAGATTGGCAAGTTGGAGTGTGGAACTTACCGTGGCAAGGTGCAGTCTTCTGGCTGCCACTCCCAATGGCGATAGTCAGAATCATTCCTCCCATTCTTGACACAAGAAAATTGTCTATCTATATATGGACAGCTTATGTCAGAGTAGAGAGGCGTTACTGAAGAGTTAAACACCCATTTTCCATTGGCAACATTGCACTCCTCAGGGTCAAAATCAAACCTGTCATCAATCCATGATGATGATGCATTCATAATCACAACATCTTCATCTGCCTTTTTGTCACCTGCTTTTTCTTCATCTGCCTTTCTGTCACCAGTCTTTTCTTCATCTGCTAGGACAATCATGATATGATGAGATAAACTGCATTAGAATCTCAAACTGATAATAGATAAAAGCATAAGAAGGCAGAGATGAGGTGAGGCATATGAGAAGGTGACTTACTAGACTTTGGTTTTGTGATTTGTCTAGGACATGGTTTGAACTTGAAAATGGAGTTGGAAGAGAGGAAACTGAGTCTCTCTGCATACAAGATAGCCACAAAAACAAGAACACAGGTTGTGATGATAATGATGGGGAGAGGAAGCTTTCCTCTGGGAGGCTTCATTATTCCTGAAGGGATCATGGGGATTAGTGGAGCTTAACGGTGGGAAGAAAGAGTTAATGAGGTGGTGCTCAACACAACAGAATGATGAGGACATTGTACAAAGGGTTTAGAGGGGGAGGTTTTATGCATTTTTGAGTAGGAGTGAAGTTAAAGCATAGTATAGTTTGGCATGACTAAACAATGCTAAAAGATACTGGAGGTTAAGGAATGGGTTGAAAGGCTAACATCTTGGCACCTCATACTTTGGTCATGTAGACAAAGCTATGCATGTAGCCTCACATCATGCTTTCTAGTTTCTACATCATTAAGTAGACCCAGTAGAATATTCATTGGGTGGGAAATATACTATTCTTGTCAAGTTTCTGTCTCTCATATGAATAGTTGAATATTCAATAGATCTGTTCTCACCATCAAGCAGATGATGGTCCCAAATTATTACTATACTAAATTGTGTCTTACTCCATTTTAATACATTACTTTTTTATGTACGGTATAAACATTATGAATGACTCACACACATTGTGTATGAGTTGATGAATTGTCTTTGTAGTGTACTTGTGCCAAAAACTTGCTGTGGGATATCAGAATTCATGTAAGTTAAAATTTGACTTAGACTTAGTAAATAATTTCTTTTGAAAAATTGAAGTTGTTCAAGCATTAAGCCTTTCAAATTATATGGATATTTTATAAAAGTCATTGTCTAAAAATTTTATATCAAGTCGTTAAGGTATTTGAGTAATTATACACCTAACTTAATCATGATTCTCTATTATTCTCCATTTAAAAGGAGGAATCATGTTCAGCAATTGAATGTTGTTCTCTACTCAAACAGCTACCAAACAAAGAATGTTAAGATCAGAAAACATGTTTGAATATATTCCTCATTCCCCAAACATGACTTTCTCTGTTGCATAGAATAAGTCCAGTGATATTACTCTGTACATTATATTGACCTATGTAAATTATGCAAGGTTGTCCCACTATTGAGTGGGACATGATAGCTTCCGATTTGTTCTTATTTCAATACTCAACTTATCCTTTCCTTTTTGATAGAAACTATTGGTTGCATGGGCAACCATCCTTCTTTCCACCCTGTATGTCCATTTGGCCTTTTGTGGTTTTGGAGGATTCTTGAAAATGCTTGAAATTTTGAACATCAATATATAAATGCTGGAAATTTTAGGTAAAAAAGGTCATGTTTTTTTAGTAGAAATGGCTATTCATGCTACTCTTGTAGTGTTGTTTGATTTTTTAAGAAATTTTACCTTTATGCAAACAGTGAGAAGAGATTATTCAAATGCACCTAGTTACCAAGAATGACTAAATTGGTCTAATTTAAAATGAAGCTAAGACAAAGAAAAGGGTGTGAAAGTAAAGAAAAGAAACAAAGTCTGAATTGATTAAGTAAAGTTCTCAAACAGAAATAAATCTATGGTTAAGGGATGAATTGCGTACGATATTGAAAGTAGATAAGAATACACAGTTTGATTGTACTTGAAACTTAGCATAAGAGGGAAACTTAGCTAATTCATTTTCACTTTGAAATTGAGGGATGGCTGAAATTATTTTCCCACATCCGAAAACAGTAATTAATTGCCTTACTTAAAATATTTCTGCTTATAAATTTCAATACTCCGTACCCCACCATTTATTTTCTGAGCTGATCTTGGTAATTTGAACATGTGCCAAATCCATTAACGATTGGTGAAGTCATTGGGAAGAAAAATGAGTAGTAACATGCATGCTAGCCAATTTTATATGGGTGTAATCAAGTGTATGCAGCAGTTGTCACATACAAAGATATTATTCATTTTCAAGAGCAGGTAATTATGAGGATCATTGTTTAACAAAGTGGGGTGTAAGGAGTGTGAAGGGTGAGCTGTTTTTGTGGAGAAGTTGGAGAGCAGAAGATGAGAATAGCTTCCAGAGAAGTAGCAAAGCAGCAATGAACCAACCCTAATGTGGGAGGCTTTAACAGCTTTGAAATTAATTTCATGGTGAAAGCCACCCATGATCTTGGCTTTGAAAAAGTTTCCAATTAAGAAATTGACATTACAACCTATAATGCACACAGTGGTTGCACTAACCTAGCTAACCAGACCGTACTGAAAATTGACATCCTTAAATTAATAACAATCAAAGTGCTGAATCAGATTATCATACACAATATCCTTAATCAACTCAACAAATCCTGAATGGGTGACCCTACAGTATTGAGGCTGAAAATACACCCAGCCAATCGTTAATAATCATTAGGCAATAGAAACCTCCACTGTAATCCAGCATCAACATCAAACTCATTGCTAAATTGGGTATAATGAATAAAGAAATCTACCACTTGCAATTTGAGGGAATTTTGATTAATCTGTTGCTTGAAAAGTGGATTTGACCTAAACCCATTACGTCAATTTTCTAATTGTAGGTAACACAAATTTCCGTCTAACTTTCTTTGCATACAATCTTGATCTTGTTTACTAGGCAGAAAGAAAATAGAAATATGTAGTTTTTGGTCAATGGAGAGGGTTGAAATAGTGAGTTTTCTTTTAGTCAGATGAAATATTTATTTCTGTCTAATTCAGAAGAAATATTTTTGTTCTTTTCTTGCTGCATCTCGTGGGTCTTGAACAAATTAAAACCCATTTGTAGGACAAGGAAGAGTGGGTTTATGTTGCAATCATGGCAGTTTCTTTATGTTTCTTCCTACACCTCCTATAAACATACTTTACATTTTGTCTTTTCATAACCTCGCTATAATACACAATCTAGAAGTATTTTTTTCTCAAAAAGATGATGGCTTTTAGATTATATAATCCCAACAAAAAAGTACTTTAAAATAGTGTAATTCAGAAGTCAAAAGTAGCTTTCAAGTCAGGGAGGATTAAGAAAAAATAGTTTTTAATTGTAAGTTATTTTTTACTTTTATATTGTATAATTAAAAAAATTAAGGTTTAAACCTTTAGTTCCTATTTAAACCAAAAATTAAAAAGAAAAATTCTAAATTATACCATTTGAAAGTTATTTCTAGCTTTCGAATTATACAATCTAAAAATGATTTTCGGATTGTAATATCTAGAAGAGCTGGAGCTGCAATTGCATTGTAGTCATTTGTTAGGAATTTCTTCCTTACATCTTTTCTTATTCTACTCTCGTATTTTTTATAAGAAAAATATACTTTTACACATTTAAATTTTTTATATTTATTTGATACAATTCTTTCTCAATTATTACCTTTTATTTTATGAAAAAATACAAAAATTCACTTTTTTTATGGTAATTTTATTCTATGTGTTAAATGAATATAAAAGTAAGTCATTTTACTATTATTTGTATTCCATATAGTTTTAATTTTTGTAATTTATGTTCAATTTAAATAATCATTTTTCTTAATACGGTCTAAATCTTTAACAACAGATGAAATGTATGTGTAACATGTTAGTTCGTGATTTTTTTAATTTTTTTTTAAATTTAAAAAAGTTGGACACATGTCAAGACAATCATGTATACCATATAACAATATTAATGTCATCGGTCAAGTCAATCATGTACCATGTAATAATGTTAATGTCATGTGTCAAGTCAATATCAATGTCAAGTGTCAAGTTACTGTTATTTACATTTAATCCAGTTTCAATTTCCTTAATTGTTCAATTTAATCTCAAATTTTATTAATTTTGAGTCTAAATTATATATATATATATATATATATATATATATATATATATATATTATTTTCTTAGTGTTTAATTTTATAATCTTTTATTTACATTTTTTTTTATCAATCGTTTCACTTGTTTTATATAGATTAAATGAGTTCAATCAAGGTAATTTCTTTTTCATTATAAACGTTGTTTGGTGTATTATTAATGATAAATGATCAAATAGTTTTACATCTCACCTTTGAATATTTATACTCAATTTTTTAATATTTTTATTTATTATGTTTTTTACATAAAAGTATTTTGGTCTTAATTTTAAATATTTAATCGGATGAACCTTTCACTTAATAGGTGGTATATAAACCTTATTTTTTTTCCTCTTTAATTCTTAATTTTTGTTTCATATGAAAAACTTTTGTTTTTCTAAAACAATTTTCTGAATTTATTAACGGTTTTACTATTTTGATATTCGAAAAGTTTTTCTTACATTTTCAAATTATCATACTTTTAATTATACATTTATTTTTCTTTATGTGATTTTATTGGATGATATATCAAATTGTTTTGATTTTTTATATAATTATTTTTATTTTCTAACTTATTTCATAAGTGTAATTTTATCATCGTAATTGTATAGAGACATTTTATTTACTATTAATGTTATTATCATACAACATTCAACGTAAATCGAACTTTAAAAGATAAAAAATCTTTGCTAAATTTTAATTATTATTAGTTTAATCTTTATTTTTTTTGTGATTTCTTTTAAGTGTGTGATTTCTTTTAAGTGATGTATGATAATTTTTATTAATGTATAAAATATATATTTAATTAGAATTTAGAGGGAAGAAAAGAGATATTTAAAATATTTTTAAATTTAGATACTTTTTTATAATTTTAAAAGTATTTTTTAATTTTATCAATTTTGTTTCCATGTTTATAAACTTAATAAATATTTTAGTTCTTATAAAATTTTTATTTGGTATTGAAATATATACAATTATAACTTTTTCTAAATATTTGATATTAAAAAAACAAGAATATATTCCTTTGATATTGAATATTTTCTTTATCGTGATTTTTATAAAAGTTAATTAATATTGAAGTAGTAAAAAAATGGATAAGAGCATGGATATATGAGTGTATACTCATTATTCGGTAGAGATGATGATGAAATAAAAATGTTATACATGTTAGGTATAAGTATGGGATAAGGATGAATTTTTTTCTTTAAATATGATTATAGGATCGTTAAACCTATCCCGACCCATATGTAATCTCTGTTGCTACTATAGGATTTCTTTAAACATTCATATTAGAAATGTCTAAAATTGTGGTATTGTTTGCTAGTTATCTTTTTTCTCTATCTCTACCTCTTCCACCTTAAGAAACAATTCTTTCTCATTCCCAATACTTGTATCATTTTATGCAACCTAATGATTGTTCACCATTGAATTATTTTTATGTGTAAAAGTCTAAAAAAATAAGTAAAGAGTAATGGTAATTTTTAAAAAAGACACTCAATTATTTCATTATTTAAAACGTTATATTATAAATATAATTTCTATTAATCGAGTTTCATTTAAAAAAAAAAACTATCTTTCTAAAACTTTTTTCTTTATATTTT